GAAAAAGAAAACCTATTTTATTTTTTTAACTCATTTTGCGCATGTGATTTTAATGCTTTGCAGACCAGCTATTGATAATGATACTAAGCAGGTGTCTCTAGTCAGTGAATGACGATCACATCCTTCAATGTTACCTTCACTTTTGTCTTTGGCGTCTGATTTCTTTCTTGCCACGCTGTTCAGAGTTTCAGCTTTCTCCTTAAATTTTCCTACAAACACACAAAGAGGCAAAATAAAATTAGAAAAAAATGTCACACGGAGGGCCCTAAACACAGTACAAAGTGCTTTTAATTTAGATTTATTATGTGTACATTGCTGCTATATTAGTCATGAAACCCTAAAGAGAGCCTGATTGAAAATGTTGGTGGTTAAGATTTGTATCTCATTAACTTATTGCTCATCTTTTCATCAGACTGCACTTTAAATTGAGAACTACTATAAGTTAATTTAGTATTTAACTGATACTTAATTGTCATTTCCTGGAGTGGGAGGAGCTACTGAGTATAAGCATTGCATGTTAGGTCATAATGGTGAGCAGGCCACAATGTATGTACTACAGAATTGCTTTCTTAATAGTTTAATTTATTTTTTGGATAATCAGTGTTTAAGTTGGGGTTACTTGTTTTTCTTTTGTTTTATACTAAACTTCTTGTCTCACTAATAAATTGCTATGATGAAAAGGGGGGATAAAAAAAGACTGGACTGTTCATCTGCGTCCACCACACAGCCATTCCTCACAATGAGGCTAAAATAATTATTAATATTACCAGTAGTACAGCAAAAACCACAGAAAGACAGCGTCAGCAGTCAGTTTTTCAACTTCTCATATTTTGGACTAAATACACCCATCCCAAGGTACATAATAACAGAGTAGAGTATTTCTATTGATAGTGCTCCCCAGACATGAGAAAAGGTTTGATTGACTAAAAATTATTGCTTGACAGAATTACTTAAGTCACTGATGTTTCTTGGATGGATCTCAGGGTGTTTTCATGCCTGCTGTGTCTAACCCATTTAAATCAAACTCTGGTTCGTTTCCCCCCTTCGTGCAGTATGTTTGTGCAGATGTGAACACAGTAACCACACCAAGAGCCTTTAGAGGAGGTGGTCTTGGTGCAAATGAACTCCTTGAAGTTTGTTTATGGTGTGAATGTGATCCGACAGTGATTCATGCCATGTATATGTTATACGTTTGAGCTGAAAATTCCCTTTAGCCATGAATGCTTTGTATTCTGAAAGCGGAAAGGTACTATAGATGTGCAAGGGTCTGTACAAGCTAGCAACTAGCTATGAAACGAAGATAAATTTAGAATAAAAATAGTCCAGAACACAACACCTTCTTCCTGTTTTTACTGTTGTTATTCCCACCCCAGACACATCTGGCCAATAAGCAGGCTGAATATTCTCATGCTCGATCTGATATTGTGGTTTTGGTGTTGTTCCTACATCAGTATTGCAAGTGATCAATCACATTGTCGCGATGCTTTACAACGTGGAAACGAGCATACCAGATAGACCTGTTAACGCTTGATTTGTACTGACACATTTTGGTTCGCTTGGAGTTCACTTGGAATTTTTCTCTGGGTGAAAACAAACCAAACATGGGGAAAAGGTACAAATTTACAAACTCATCAAGTGATTCGGACCAGAGTAAACGAACTATAAGTGTGAAAACACAGTTGATGCAGAGTTCATGCAGGTTAGCTCTGATCTTGATGTTAGGCATGGGAGACAGACACTATCTCTACTTTTAAGATTAGGTTTAAAACATTTCTTTTTGCTAAAGCATATAGTTAAGGCTGGATCAGTGACCCTGAAACCTCCCTTAGTTATGCTGCAATAGGCATAGGCTGCTGGGGGACTCCCATGATGCATTGAGTTTTTCCTTTTTAGTCACCTTTTTCACTCACTATGTGTCAATAGACCTCTCTGCATTGACTCGTAATTGTTATTAACCTCTGTCTCTCTTCCACAGCATGTCTTTCATGCTGTCTTCCTTCTCTCACCGCAGCAGATGGCCGCCCCTCCCTGAGCCTGGTTCTGCCAGCGGTTTCTACCTGTTAAAAGGGAGTTTTTCCTTCCCACTGTCGCCAAAGTGCTGCTCATAGGGGGTCATTTGATTGTTGGGTTTTTCTCTGTATGTATTATTGGAGGGTCTACCTTACAATATAAAGTGCCTTGAGGGGACTGCTGTTGTAATTTGGCGCTATATAAATAAAATTGAATTCAATTCAATTCAATAGACAGATTCAAATGCTAATTATTGTGCTGCTGCAGTGCTACCCTGAAGCCTAAGGAGAAGAAATGTGCACTGGTATAAGATGGACCACAAACTGGGGCATACATATAGCATTAAATTGCGACAGGTAGCCAGATGACACTGACATTTTATCAACAGAATGATGCCTCAAGATAATCTTTGTAACCATTTTCTCAAATGTGAAATCTGGATAGGTCAGCCCATCATCACACTGTCAATCCAGCTTACATCTTCTAAATCATTGCATTTTAACTAATTTAAGAGAAAGAAAACCCCGTCATCATCATCATCAGTGTAGGGACTAACGTTATTAAGTAACTCGTTACAGTAACTATGTTATTATTGTGGTAACGAGCACAGCAACTAGTTATTATGCCAAAATCAGGAACGC